AACAACACTTAATTGGCACCTGGACTGATCCGGCCAGTTGCATCAAACGAGCGCAACGGAACGCCACATGCAGAAGCAATGAGTGCAAAGGCGCGTCATTGTCAAGGTCAAAGTATCGAGTCGACCGCGTCACATCGACTTATCGATCACGCTCGGGTCGATCAATACCCAAAGCCAGCAGTGAATATGCATTGAGCAACACTATTAAGACGCGCTGCATGGGAGGCACAGGTGCCACGACCATTGACCTGTCGTGTGACGAGGAGCAAAGGCCATGGAGCGCAGCCGATTCACGGCACAGACGCCACAGACCCACAGCGACCCCTCGGCCGGCCCGACCGTCGCCAGGATCGACGGTAGATGGCACCACTGCGAACACACGTGCCACACTCATCAGGCTAATGGACCAACTCGTCGGGTACATGCCTACAGTTCGGTACAGGTCGACCGTCGCTACTCGTCGTATGCCAACAGAACGCAGCATTCGGATGGTCGAGCAGGCTCAAAGTATACCTGTGTTTTTCGGGTCGTACGGGTAACTCGTTTGTGAACATTCCATTCACGGCGAACCTGGGGTCAGGTTGTTAGTCGGCAATACGGTATAGTCGACTACAGAATGATGTTCCACTCCTCAGAAGCTATCAGTTGACCGGAGCGCTAAGTTGTGCCGTTTATCACGCAATTAAGCTTGTCGATTGTGAGCATTGGGACAAATCTATAATTTGTGAACTCAGCCCGTGTGATGCGGCACAGCCTACCACTCCAGGCAAATAATTGCCTGTGAAAAGTGGAACATCATTCTGTAGTCGACTATACGCCAAACAGTCTATGTAGTAAGCCAATGCCGATTCGAATGGCACGTGTGGAATATTGAGTGCATAGGCGGCTGAACGGGGGGGGGGGGGGCACCGGGGCACCGTGCCCATTTGATTTTGACATTTTAACATGAGCCCTGTGGGCGTTGCATGGAAAGAATGGGACCATGGGACCAAAACTGTCGGCAGTGCCCCCCCCCCTAATTGAAGGTGTTCCGCCGCCACTGACTGAGTGAGGACGTGCCGGGTCGCTGCAGCTGGATGGGGTCCGTACTTCCAGTAAAGGTACGAGAGAATGTAGGAAGCCAGTTCATGGGCTCAATCTTATAAACGCTGTGGAATGGATATGGCAGCACTTGCTCAAGTTCAGCTGCAGAAAACGACTATCAAATGCAAAATGGTTTTCACGCATTTCAGTCCATCGTAATTTGACGGTCTAAAGAATCATTTCGTTGACTCAGATAAACCTTTGTCAGCACTGGTATCACTGTGAATGTTACCAAATGCCGTTAATAGAATAGTACGGCATTTTATCAGATTGAGAGTATGGAGACATCACGAAATACTGCCTGACCTGCGAGCATAATCACATCAAACCCTCTCCAGCAATATAAGTCAACTAATAAACAGTCGTTCCTAACTGCTATAGGACCCCCGTGACGGCTAGGTCGTGGCCAGAAGCAACATCCCTCAAGGTGCCTAAAATTTTCGGTAAGTCAGAAGCTGCGGGATATACCGCTCGCCTGGATGAACAAATCGAATGCAAATGTAACGTTCAGCAGGCCTCAGTCCGGGCGGCCTCGTCAATAACAAACTTTTCTCGTGATCTCCTGGAAACACAGATAAATGACGACACATGCCGCTCCGAAAGATACATGCCCTCTATTAACAGTGAAATAATTTCCAGAAAAGCATTGTGGATACCATTGTTGAAACATTGTATTCACCATTTCGAGAAGAATGCATAAGAAGTTTTTTTTTCAATTGAGGTAAAACATGTTGCATAATGCTTCCATTTCCGAGAAAAATATTTTGAGCTTGCGGTTTTTTCATTTAACGCGGAAGCTAAAGCACGTTTAAGTTGGTTGAATTTATGACTCAAATCAAGATTTAGATCAAGATGGTTTAGGTCGAAGGTGAGATAAGACTGCGAAACGAATGAATGAAATATTTACCATTTGGGGCTGAAACGAGCAAAATTGCAAGACTCACATGGATAACTAGGAAAGCGGACTCGCGGATATGAGCTCAATTGAGGGGGGAGGGCTGCAGGGGTAGCTACAGCAGTATCTGCTTTCGATTCAGCCAATAATACAATCCAAACAGATGTATTAGACGTTCTGTCCTTGTCGATATTCATACTCATAAGCCATAAAGAGATAAGTTATCCATCGATATCCAAAGATAACTTCCACGCTTAACCCGGCAGGCGGTGGGCCTACCAGCAACCTTCCGCGCGGTGGGGGGGGGGGGGCATTCCCCCCGTATCTCCGAAACTACTGGACGGATACGGAAAATTCAAACGGCGTTCGATAGCCCTGTCAAATTTGTCTAAGGAAACCAAATTTCATTGACCTCGGGGTCACCGATGACGTCACAGGTCAGGTCAAAGATAAAATGTTTCACCGTTCACGGGGCTTCTAGGGAAAGCGCTATAACACCGAGTAAAACGCATTTTGTCGAAAATCAGCGATAAGGCGTCAGTTGTCTAGTACATATGTTGCTATTAGAGGTCACTGGTCATACCAGGTCAGGTCACAGGTCAGGTCACCAAAGGTCACCAAGGGTCACCACATGAGCCCAACTTTACTAAGGTTATGCGATGCATGTTTTATGGCCAGTTTTTCATTTCCAACTCAATGGTGTTGGTTATAAGACCATCAGGTACGGTTTAGGTCATTTTCTGGTGGAGGTCAGGTCAAGGTCAGGTCAAAAATGGTCAAATTTCAAAGTTGATATTTTGCATAAAATGGGTATCGATTCGATGCAGCTCATCACGGGGAGTCTAATGATGGTCTTTGTTTTGCGCTACGAGGTCTAGAATTGCTAAAAATTGAGTTTGAAAATTTGACGTCATCAATTTTGAACAGTTTTTTCGCTATAACTTGGCCAAAAAAAGAGGTATCGATCTCAAATTTAGTATGTAGATAGAAGGCGGTAGGGACTATCACATATATTCCGTTTTTTTTCGAAATTCAAAAACTTTTTTGATTTTTTGGCTATTATACTCAAAAAATCTATTTTTTTATTTTTGGGGGTCAAAATCCAAAAAATTCGAAAAACCGAAATAGCAGTTTCGTAGCCCTTTTAATTTTACACCTTTTATGTCTGAAACATTTTTCTGTATCTCTCAAGCTGTAGGCCTGACAGCTCTTCTCGCGAAACCTTTTTTGGGTCGAAAATGGCAAAAATGACGTCACTCTGACGTCATTAGCGGCCAACCTATCATAGCCTTTGGAAAAAAATTGGTCACCATGTGCGCTAGCTGCTCCCGGGAGGGTATTGAAAGTTTGGTGACGATCGGCGCAGCGGTTCTCGAGATATATTGAAAAAAACTAAAGGGGGGCAAAAAAATGTCCCCCCCCACCGCCTGGAAGGTTAAGTAGAAACTGACATTTTGTCTCCTGGCTCAAAACATGACTTTTTCTTGAACGCCACCGGCATAGAAAAGACCACTCGCCCTTAGGACGCGTTCTCATAGAATTACTGTTATACCGCAATTCATGGAAAACGAAAAGCAGATATAGCTGGATAACATATGTTAAAAGTCATCGCTTTGGCTGCAATAATCGCCACAGGCTGTGCAATTATATGGCAAAGCCCCTATGTTGGAGTAATGATTGCACAATGCACATAATACTTACTTTGAGAGACGTCTTGGCAAACTGGGACAACGACTTCAGCGCTTCTTTTCCAACAGAAAGTGCATCATCCATGGCATTTCCGAGTTTCGATCGGAAGGAAACAGTTTTGTCTTTAATTTCAAGATGTGTTCTACTACCCGTGTCGCAGATTTAATTCGAGATGTGTTCTTCTACCTATCCAATTCTCTGTGTGAGATCAATTAAAAGACCGACACACAATGACAGTGAACCGTAGCAATGAGCCTTGTTCACCGGGACCTGTCATAATGCAATGACAAAACGGAAACAAATACACCCAAGCCACCAAGCTTTTCAGCCAAAAGTGTTTGAGATGTAAAATAAGAACACTGCAAGATGAGCCGATAATTTACACCACACTCTGCTCTTCTGTCTACCAACTGTGGTCGCTGCCGGTGGGGTTCCTGTCGCCGACCGGTTAGTTTCGGTGAACCGTTCTGCACACTTGTGCACCGCGGCGTTGGCAGAGGCACGGCCAGGTCGGCACTCACTGAGTGGGGTTTGTGAAAGCAGATGGTAGCGGTAAGTATCCACTATCCAAGTTCTTCATTATATTGTACAAATGCAAATCTAACACTTCTTATTTTGAGGAAAGAAGGTAGAACTGGGAGCGACTTTGTTGGTAGCGTGGTAGATGTTACGAAGTGTCGTTTGACTTAGGATTTGGGCATGGTATTGGCAGCTCATTACAAATCTGATGAACGCCTCTGCCACCCTTTACTGCCGGCGACAGCAGCTGAGCCGGGCGCATATGGCGGGGAAAAAACTAAAAAAAGGATCCCATAAAAGATATGATGCCAACAGTGAAGGCAACATGTAACTAGTGTAGTATATATGGGATGGTGAAAGAGGCGATTTGCTAAAAGCGAGTGGCTGAAAACTGCAAGTTCAAACACGAGTAGAAGGCAACTGTGGGCTGTGACCAGACATGTGCAATACATTGTGCATGGATCCGAGAGGCGGATCTATGATCTCTGTGGATCTCTCCACAAAATGTAGGGGTCGAATATGTGATCTCAGTGGATCTCTCGACAAAATGGAGGAGTCAGATCTATGATCTGAGCGGATCCTAAATAGAGATCCATGGAATCAGATCTCGGATCCATTTTTTCTGATCCATGCACATATCTGGATGTGACTTGAGTTGTTGCAGCTATCCTGGATCGTTGGTTACTTTAGTTTTTTTTTGCATATCCCACTGAAAATCGTCAATGATCTATTTTTGACCTACTTGCAAGCAAGCCAGGTATTTTTTAGGCTTAGAGCATGCGCGTGCAGAGTAACGTGATTGTCTATTCCTCACCTGTCCTGCTTCTCCATTCAGCCTTCCTTCGGACCCTGTGAGAGCGGAAATACATTGAGTTGTTGGTACACATTTGAAAAAGCATAAGTCCCGTGAACAGTTGCTGCATTCATTTGATCTTCATATCCTTCCCCTTCATATTTATATCCTTCATATCCTTGGGCAAGTTGAGCAAGACATCGGGAAGTTGTGACCTTCATAATTAGGCCACGATTGAGAATGGGGAGCGCAGAGTGACGCACAGCTGGGTTACACAAGTGCTGCTCACAGGGACGCACTTGCGCAACTGTGACCTCCAAATGGAAACAATAGTTATCTTTTACTGCTGTGCCGCTTAGATAATCAGAATAGGAATAGCAACTCTGCATGTTTAATGTTCCTCCACCTCGGTAAGGCAAGTGGATTATGAGACCTGGGGGCGTGGACCTTGTTCACCCCCCCCCCCCCCTCCTGCCTCCATCACTCCGTGAATATATAAAGAAGTTACAAAAAAAAGACGTTATGGATCAACAATAAGGACTTCTTTCAAGGGTCAAGAAGTTTTGACGCCAAGTCAAATCAAGTGTAAAAAAGCAGAGGCCGGCAAGAGTAATAATCAGCATGTTAGCAGTCATCTTAATTGCAGGTTTTCTAATCGTTTCAAAAGTTGGGTGATTCACTAAAAATAATGATTATGTTGTTATTTGACGACTTTTTCAAGCGGCACTCGGTTGGGTGGTCAATGGCCAGCTGGACTATTTGGGATGCATACATTTCTTACAATGCAGTGATTTCACGGCGCCATTGGACATTGCATCCATTACAGGAAAAAAGCAATCCAGTGATATAAATACACAATTTAAACACTGCCGACACCTAATGAACAGACCAAGACCCCCCGTGTCGTCATTAGGGGTCGGGTCGTGCCGTGTCACTGCGCCACTCACCCTTGCGCGGCGACTTCGTACTAGGGGTGGTGGAGCCGCTCGGGTCCGACGACTCTCCTCCGTGGTCCGAGTGGTCCTTCTGAGAGACATCTGCAACAAGGGAGCACCTGTCACCAGTGGTTGCAAGTTACCCTGCTGGGAGACGCTTGGAAGAAGGTATTCTTTTCGCTGGTGAAAATGGCTATGCAGACACCACCAATAAAGTGACGATACATTACTTGGTAATCATGCCTTTTGTTAACATTTGTTTGTCAAACACATACTCATTACTAAAAAATAATGATGCTTGAATTGAACCATCCACTGCTACGGGAGAGACGTAATGTGCACTTTCTCATATGTTGTCGAGCGCTTTCCAGCGCACTTTGGGTGACATGAGCACCACACTCTCCTCCTTCAAACGTTCCTTCACAAATCTCCCCACAAACATCATTTGAAAACCAATCTTCAGCTCAGGGACCCCAACCGAGCTGCACGCTAACCGTAATCCGAATCTTTCCCTGTCGAATTGCGCCACTTTTTGACCAATTTCTTCTTGCTCTTCTCGGCTCTGGCTTTGAGTGTGCCGGCCATGGTGGTGTTCACAGTCACTCCGAGTCGCCGAATGACCCCCTGACCGCCACCGGGGTCCCGGCGCACAAAGACACAGTGGGGCGCGGCGGGCACGCGCGGCGGCGGCGCCGGCGTCTGGCGCACCCAGGTGGTGCTCGTTACGCCACCAAGTGTGCGCCGCGCTAAACAAGTGCACCGGGCGCTGATTATAGACGCATAGCGATGGTGGGCTGGCCACGGAGAAGGTCAGCCCCACGCCGCCATATTTATCGGGCAAAGTGAGATACGGTTTGCTGCTGGATCTTGTCAATTTGAGCACGATGATGCACCAGGAATATTAGATTGAGGAAAATAGTCCTAGAAACGATTTAAATGAAAATACCCGGATTAGCATTCACCTACCGAAAAGAAACATGGCTGATGTTGGTGAAGTTCTGGATAAATAGCAAAATGTCACGAAATAAGTATATGTAAAAAGAAAGCAAACGTATGGTGACTTATAGGATCTACCTTACTTTGCCGTAATGTCGGAGGTGATATCAATTTGATTCTTTAAAAAGAAGCAGAAATATCACGTGGCAATAAAGGTCAGTAACCTTGCACCTGTGCAATGTGGAATCGTCACTGATCATGCGAAAGACAGCGATGTTAGTTGGATTGCTGAAGTCTAGATGACAAATGCCCGTATGTAAGTACGATTGCATGTCACCTGTCACTTGTCACGCACTACGCAGAGATCTCCCAGCAGTCAGATTATATCCCTCCATCACACCGAGGCGGGTCTGGGGCTCCCCGCACTGAGCGCATCTGAAGACGATAACGCCTCTGCCGTTACCCACACACCACGTCCCTCGTCGGCTGACCTGACCGGCCGATCAAAGCGATCGTTTGTTTAGCTCTGTCGTGGGTCGTACAAATGACCTTTCTAGCCTGAAATCCGCTGAGCCGCGTCGTTCCGCCTCCGGTCGGCCGCAAATGCCAGGGACCCAGATGGTGCCGGAATGGGACTTATCCCAGTGGAAACAAGTTCGATAGTTTGGATGGCTGATGTGATGACCTATATGGTGAAGAAAGCCTGATAAATGGATGTCTTTCAGGAAGGCTTTTTGGTGTGGCTTGTTGTTACATGGAAGTAATCTTACCACAACGTGCATTAGGTGACCTGAAACATCCAACATGACTGCCGATCCTTAAAGATTTGAACCATATGGCATGAATAATAGGTTGGAATTCAATTTCAAATTGGGTGCAATTCAAGTCGCATCAACTGTTTCAAATGTTGCATATGTCACTGCACAATCTCCCCCGCCTTGACTGTACACTGTGCAAGCGTAATGGTGATTCAACAAAACTTTGTAACATAGAAATGCGTATCCATAAATGTAGTCGTGAACTGTTTGATTTTTGCTTTGACTTACAGCATTCAAACAGTTACTCGACACTGCCTATCTCCTCAGATGAATGCATCCAAAGATAAGTCCAGAAACACGCCACATTTTCAATATTATAAACTCCATTTCTATTTACTATATTCAGTATTAAAACGAGCCATGGAGACAGCGATTCTCAGAACCTGGCGCAGCCTAGCCCCCGACCCCGACTTTGACCTTACCGGGCACGGAGCCGGTGCGCGACGATCCGTTCACCGGGTCACGGGGAGAGGACGGCTCACGCTCACGGTCACGGCTGTGCGACTTCTGAAAACGATGCTGGGGAACGGGGAGGGGCAGAGGGTCAGCGGAAACGGTGGGATACGTTTCAGTCGCAAACAACATATTTCAGACTATGAGAGCGATCGGAGTGACGTTATACTAGCCATTTACTGTTATAAGCCCAACACAAACTGACCGCAGTGACTAAAAACCGCTTGTCTGAGAGAACAGATTACGAATAATCCACCAAAAGGCACTAAATGTTGCATGAAAAAGCCGTTAATCACTGATTGCCGAGGGCCGGTACAAGTTTTGTTTACATTGCCTAAAGTTAAATTCAAGTCGTCTTTTTTCTCGAGTGTTATTATAACAGCAATCTTGGAATCATATCACCCGTTCTCGAGCAGCACTAAACCACCTCGCCGATCGCCTCACCCGCAGCGTGTTGAGAAAGCCGTGCGTCTTCTGCGCGAGAGCCACCTTCTCTGCCAGGTGGCTGTGGGTGTGCACGGACGCCTCGCTCCTGTCAGAGCTCTCGGCTCGAGCCTCGTCCTCACCGGTGCCGGCTCTGCTGAAACAGATGGTCAACAGGTGTCAATGACCGCGCTGACCCTCCAGCGAGAAGCAAGAGACGACCACGGTTTGACTAACAACTTTAACAAGAGACGACCACGGAATAATGAAGACTTCAACTGAAAGACTTCAACGTTTTACAGAAAATTCAGCTAGCTAACATACAGCTAGCAGAAGATACATGTAGCTAGCGGCTAACGCAATGCAAAGGTTACATTCGAAAACACGCAATACGGACAATCACGACAAAGTGCATAGAACCGTGTCATATGACACCCACCCTGATGGGGCGGAAACACATCGGGCTCTTCTTTCGGATAAGCTAATATCTGAGCTCCTCTTTCGCCTTTCGGGTTCTTCCATTTTGTCCATGATGGCTATTTCCTTTGCACCATCCTTCTCAGAAATTTCATTTTCGTTCGCTTCAGCTGACTGCGGTACATGACTTGCCTCTGGAGGCATCCTTGAGAACTTCATTTCCGACACATCCACGTCTTCTGCCGTCGCTGTCGCCAATTCCTCCGCGTTGGTCTCCGTTCCTCTTCCAGGTAACGAAGCCCCAGTCAGTTCATTCACAGTTCCATCATCTGGCTTACACGTCTGACTCCCGCTGAGCTCGTCGGTTCGTTGCAGGGGCGTCGGATCGGGCGACCTTTCCTGTGGCTGGTCCGACTTTTCACCACTTTTGTCCGTCGCACCACTGAAGAGTGAGTCAAACACAGATGGCAATTTCCAGTTTTTGCCACCAGACGCATCCATGGTCGCTTGCGACGGTTCACACTCTAACCAGGTCACAGATTTTCAGCCGGCGCGATACCGCAGCCGCATCGACTACTGAAAAGATTCCGGACCTTTCTAAACACAGACGGCCGAACATGTGGCTCCACAGAAATGGCCGCTGGCGCTCACAGGTGGCTTCAGACCCGGCACATGCCGAACTGGCCTTCGTTTTCGGGCCGAAAGGCCAGCCAAGTGGTGGCGAGTGTGGCTGTTTACCTTGCGGCAGTTTTGTGTCTGTCACTCAACCTGTCAGTGTCAAAATCTGATGTCGGGTGATTAGGTCAGACGCTGTCGGCTACCGCCGGTTTTACGCGCTGGTTTAAATCATTTTTGCCGGAAGATACTTGATTTAAATCAGGGATATGCGGTGCTTTGACAAGACGTTCTTCTCAGCCTGGTCCCAACTTTCTTGGCAAGAAAGAAGTCCGATGTGGCTGATCCTATTTGCAGTCACTGTGTAGTCAGTAGTGTGTGTGCAGGCATACTAGTTTGTACGTTCAAAATTATATCATAGATGATTTTATGCCGGTTTCTTCTGGTCTCGGACCCAGTGTGCCAAAGAAACTGAAAATTGATATGGCGCTTTTCACGAACTGAAAGGCCCAGAGAATGGGCTTACGTGATGACGAATGTGGCTATTTAGAAGAAGGCATCTCACAAAGCACCAAAATTAGCATACGGTGTACGTATGTAGGCTGTTCGGCCTACATAAACCAGGCTATGATAAGCCTTTTATAGGCTGATAAGCAGAGTAGAGCTATGCTCAGGAAGACATACAGCGGTGCGGCGGCGATGTACGGTAAGTCTAGTTCCATCGTGGTACCGTAGGTGGCAGCACCGATGCATTTCATAGGGCAGGCCTCCAGTGAGCAATATCGTTTTGACCATAAAATGCCATATTCTCCATGTGCTCGGTGATTCGGTCCAACAACGTCCTCTCCTACGAACATACTTCATCGATTTCAGTAGGTGATTTGAATTAAATGCACTGAACGTAGCAGATGTGAAGATAGGTAATGCTTGCCGTCATCGCAAGCTGAGGGCAGGCTCGGATGATTCCCCAGAGCCAAAACTTGTGGTGAAAGGAGGGGCACCTGCCCTTGCATAAGTAATCTTAATTTCGTTTTCGGGCTGAACAGTCAGGGATCACCCTCCATCCCTAACTTTCCATCCGCCCCTCGCTAACACAGACTTCAAAACCTGACACTAGATGTCTCTAGCGTTCCCGCCTGCGAGCATGCTGCGCCGCATTGCGCATAACCATATGTGGCCGTCTGCTCAACTGCGGCGGCAGAGCTGTGGCACGATAACGAAAAGATATGAACAGACAAAAAAGTCGAACCCAAAAAGGGATTAACAAGCTCAGAGTAGATTGTATTTACAGAACCTGATGCCAACACCATAGGGTGAATGCACATTTATCGTTTGAATTTGGACGTCGTTGCCATCGGTGATGGATGGCAGCAACTGTTGCCCAGCGGAGATCATTCAGCCTGCTCAGTATTCAGCTATACAAAAAGAGGCGTGGGCTATAGTCTACGTTGCATGAAGATAAACGAGTGTCAGTTTACAGCCCCTGGCCTGACCCGCCTTTGCAACAGCACAAGTTGCTAAAATGAACACAGCAAGCACTGCGGTCGCGGACATACAAATATAACTCAAAAGGAGTTACAGAAATAACAGAACTTCACCAATCACTATTGTCGTAGCATAGAGAGTATGAATCTAGATTAACCCTCGCCCGTATTGGTGTTTTTCCAGCCGCGAACGTATAAGGGGGGGGGGAGGTCCGTTGGACCCCCCCCCCTTGCCGTTTCGCCCCTGATCGAGCTAGAGCTTCGCGGAAAAAACGAGCGTGTTGCCCGTGACGAGAGGGAGCCGATGATACCCAATTTTAAGGTCCTAGGTCATTGGTTGACCTTGCAGGTCAGGTCAATGACCCAAAAGTCGGGAAAATCGGGACCTGTTAGAACGTCGTAAAGTGTGGCTGCTATGGGTTTTTTTCGGGGTGCTGATCACGAATATCATGTTAGTTTTGATCACAGATGATGTCTCCATGCATTTAGTCCAGGTCGGGTCAGGTCAGGTCAGGTCAACCAGTAGGGGTCCTACCGGGTATTCCTAGTAGGTGTCAACCGCCTCTGACAGCTTCGTAACATGTTACGAAGGCACCAAAACTACTTCGTAAATGTTCATATGGTTGCTAAATTCGAATTCAGCTCCAAAACTGGCCTAGAAACATGTTAAACTCAAAAAAGTGAACCGAGGTCATCAAAGGTCAATGACCTGACCTGACCTTCAGGTGACCTTGACACCCACTCTAATGCATGGGGGCAACACCATATCACATGTTTGAACGCTTGAAACCACGAAAAGACTGCAAACGCGCCGCTAATGCGAGCCGACATATGTACGCCGAATCGCGATTCTGGCCAAACATGGTCTCGAAAAGTAGGTCACAGGTCAAAGGTCATTTGGGTCAGGGTCATGAAATTTTCAGGGTAGGTGTAAAATTGAATAACGCGAGGGTACTGAAAGTTTCGTCGCGATCGGCCGCTTTTTACGCGAGTTATTCGCGAAAAACCATGGGGGGGTCCATTCGACCCCCCCCCTATACGGGCGAGGGTGTTATCTATGGCTGTGGGTAGATATACATATATTTACAGGTATTCCATTTCACCTCTCTATCGTTAACGCGTTGCGAACAATCAGGAGAAAACCTTCAGGTGGTAGCATCCCCTTCAGCCAGCGAAGGAGTAGCTGCATTATATTTCCTCACCAATGAAATTCAAAAACATCGGGATGCTGCTGAAAGAACAGGAGCTGAGTGACAACTTTCGACAGTCGACACCCCTATGGCCTATATGACGCTGTTCTAAACATCAAAGGCACTGTGCACAAGAACAAAAAGAGACATCTTAAGACAGGATTCACTTCAAAAGAACTATGCAATACTTTCCACTTTAAACTGAGCCGGCGACTGCCGAAGATGAAGATAAGGATCATCATTTTTGAAATAAGATGAAAGATGCGAATTTCACAGTTTCACTTAACATAAAGCACAAGAAATCAAGCCTAGATGTTTAAGAAGTCTACACATAATGCAAAAATACATATAGGATCATACATTCGTACATTAAACGTAAATAGCAGGTACATAATTAATTGTTCTTTACTTTTGTATTTTTTCATTTATTTATGCATTTATTTAACTATGTATTTATTTACTTATTTATTTATTCATTTATTAAAACAACTCAGCTTTTCGGCTTTTCGAAAAGCCAAAGTTTAATAATTTCTAAATAATTAACGAGCCGAGCACGTTTCATATGTATTTATTTATATGGTTACTTTTTTTTAGGAACCTGCTAAAGGCAAGAACCTTTACCAAAATAATCGAAGTATCTAAGTAAGCACAGTTGATCATACCAACCAAAAGACGACACTCGTCAAGTTCATTCCTGGCACAATAACGCCAGCAATATTCAACAAACATATTCCCCGCCTGGCAGTCCAACTACCATAAACAACACTATCCAAAGTGTGCCAGCAAAATTAGGAAATGTCCGACAAAGTCCAATTCTGAATACATAAATATTCTAATGCTCATCAGGGACCGCCCACTACATTTAGCCACCAATGAACTTGACAGCACACCGACACGAAATTATGTGATGATGTGATTTGTATTCCGGACAGCGTCAGCACTACAGCATAGTACGGCAACTGTAATTTATGGCAATTGTCCTAATGAGACTTGGCGTACCCTGTGGAATATAAATCCCTCGAACATCCACATAGCTACACAGGTTTTGAGCAAATGGCAAATGCTTTTTTGAGCATAGCATAAATGAAACAGTAAAAAGAACTTTTAAATATGGAATTGTTGTACTGGGACATGATAAATATTCAGAAAAAAATTATTCGACACCAGTAAAATGTATATGAATCGGTAGCTTTCGGGGGCTGCTGCCTCCTTCATCAGCCTGCCTTTTAAAATTAGATGAATGCTGCCTCCTTCATCAGCCTGCCTTTCAGAGTGGGATATTTTAAAAGGCAGGCTGATGAAGGAGTCAGCAGCCCCCGAAAGCTACCGATTCATATACATTTGAATATGAATATTTATTGTCGAATATGAATATTTATAATATTTGGTGTCGAATATTTTTTTTCTGAATACAGTAAAAAGAACACTTTTTTCCCACTGAAATTAATCAACAAAATTTTGTGACACCACAAAAGTCTCAAGTTTTCCTGGGACTTTGTCGAGTAAAATCCCTGTGATGTTCTCACCTGTCATTTGACCTGTCCCGTGACCTGGTGAGGTCAATGGCCGACTTGGAGAAGTGTCGCAGCAGGGTTCCATGCAGGGACCGGTGCTCTGGCGTCTTCTCTGAATCTGGAACAGAGTCACAGCACGTCCCGTTGTTATTGCTGTCCGCAGACTCCGGCCGCTCGGTGGTGAAATGGAGCCGCGTGATCCCCTCCGACACCGCTGGGATGTCTCAACTACCTTTGGACAATAGCGTACCGTAGGACATTCCAGAAGGCGCGGGCATGTAGCTTCACCCTCTGAGACACGGTCACACGTTTATAGAGCTCATTTCAATTATTGTGATTGTTCATGCTTCCTGTTGTTTATAATATCGATGTCTGTAGAAACTTAGAATGTTTTCAGGTCATGCAAATCATAATTTGATTCAATTTAACCAGAATACCTACATACATTCATCAGTCGTTTCTATTATGAATAACGTTTTAGCCGCGGTCAAAAAAGTCAATGGATTTTATTATATTTAAAACACGACACAGACAAGTAAGGATAATAGCGCGACGGAAAATAGTAAATACTCTCCAGCTATAACGGCTGACAAATTGTCATCCTACACATCTCATAGGACTTGTTAGCAAAAGCGATGTCATATTTTCTATCCTCTCACATGCAACAGCATTTGAGCGGTGACATGAGGCGCCCAGCCTCCATCCAGCCTCAACTAATGAAACAACTTTCCTCGTTGCAATAACTTGCAATAACGCAGTGCCTAGGTTTTCGTAGAGATCGACCAAAATTGCTAAAGGATAAAGTTACGACGCAATATCGAACCCGGTATGTACTCATACCAAAGGCAACAGAGCCAAAGACCTTCACCCATAACTGAGTAACGCTGCACCTGCATTAGTTAGGACACGGCGACACAGTGTCGGTAACGAAAAACTCGGCGTCGGCCACCTGCGTCCCAGGCGGATAGCGTCCTACAGGTCCCCGGCTCACCGCCCGCAGGCCTCTCGGCGACCTTTCCGAGTGGCCAACTGTCGGGCTCGCGCTCTGACACATCCGTTTTCATAATCGACCGGCCCCAACCGGCGGGCCAGAGAGAGACAGAGTTGTTTCCCTGGTGAGGCAGAATTGTCTCCCGGTTGAGACAGAATTGTCCCAGCGCCGCCGGAGCGCGCGCCCAAACGACCCAGGCCGATGAATGGGCGTGGCTGCGTCGCTGAGCCCCACCAGCCGCTAACGATGTGAGAATCGTCCAGCTGAATGGACGGCCGCCGCGAGTGTCAACGTGGATGGTGGCCGATGGTCATGAAGACAGACCTGTTGGTCAATACCTTGGGTCGGCGTGGTGGCGACTGCGTGGTGGCTGACCACTGATCAAGTGCACTCGGATCGCATTACTATACGATTAGTTCAGATAGCCCGCTGTGAATACGATTTCGACTCCACTAAAATGCAGGATGGACACCAATAACTCGCGAACCATACAGGTGTCAGCAGTTGTTTGGACAATCAGTCACGTTTAGCATGCCTTTCGTATTCCAAAACATCAGCTTTGCTTTTCATTTCTAACTCCTAATTTGATTTCCTCGTCCAGACATACTTGGCTGCTCATGATTTAATATTTTATATTGTGTTAGCTCGTTCGCGGTAATCGGCCATCGATGACCGATGTAACGGCTGATGGAGCGCATTTGAAAGGCGAAAGGACAGGTCCAATGCGTAAGAATCGACCTTTTTTGTTACAGAGCACAACACTGTGGAGCTGTGTTTCAATATACATATTACGAGACTCAACAGATGGGATGAAACTTATCTACCCATGGCGTTGAGTCTGTATTGTTAGATAGGACCTAAACGACCGATTTGAAATTCGTTTTCATTGACATTTGTTTGCAAATAGCTTGTTCATTGTTGTTCATTAGGGTTTACGGGCGCGTCGACTGCGGTGGTCATTTTGCGCCCATTGTTTGCCAATAACTCGATGAAGTTCAAGTTGTGTCATGTAACATGGCAGCGCATCAACGCGATGATCATGCGTGAAAATTAACTTTGGACGCATATAACAAGTCCATGCAGCCAAATAAAATACAAATTTGTCCACCATATGGCTCACATGTCACATTGCTCCAACAGACGGTAAATAACTTTTGAAAATACCTATCTCCAATTTTAGTGTTTTCTGAACCAAAACTTTGCGAGGAATCCGATGGTGTGGTCCCTGAAATCTGAAAAAAAAAATTCCATTTTGGAGATAGCACCTATTTTTTGAAAAGTAAATATTCGTCATGCACAAAAGTCAAATGAATTGAAAATATAATGAGTGAATATTTATACTAACACTAGAATGTATCGAACATGAATTAGTGATATTTTTTTTCGAACTACTCCGCCACCCATTATTAGGTGACCAGGAGTGCCCCCACCCTCAGCCCAGCGACTCACAGCACCTTACGTTAACACCAGACAAAAATAAAAAAGGATAAGTCGCGGCACTCCCAGCTAGGAAAATTGAAAAAAAAACAAAGTAAGCAAAAGAAGTGCGGGAACCGGTTAATAAATAAAGAGAGCCAAAGTAGTCATTGCTGAAAGCAGCGGATGACTGTTCTACTACATCTAAGAAAGAAGTCATTCATACATGCATACATAATTTGTTAGTAGAGTGCATTCAGCCTTTCACTCCTAGAAGAAAAATCAGCAAATGGCAATCCAGTGGGGAAACATTTCTGGTCAATTCGAGCGCAGGTCAATAGCCAGACTTTCTAGGGCCCACCAGCTAAGCAGGGCTTGTTGCTGATGGACCCCTTCAAGTCCGGCGTTCCATTTGAGTGGGGACGTATCTCCTGTGTTGATAATCACAAAGGTAGGTTACAATTATCAACACATCATTGTCAGCCTAGCCCAATAATAAATGCACCAATATGTCCATTTATTATTGGGCCACTTGTCGAGATGCTAAGCACTTTGTATGAAAAGTACTAGGTAAGCGTGTGTATTACGCTATTTAGGTATGCATTGCTATTTATTATCATGTTCTTGTTGTTTTTCTTATTGTAAGATTTAACATATTTTCATATTCATTTATAGGTATATTTACGAGGATACTTAGTACCCAGGATTACTTAACTAATACTTTTGCTAAAACTTCACTTAAACTTTTGATAAGTACTTTTGCTTAGTACTCACTAAGTAAGATATTCTTTACATATTTTTTGAAAGTGTTTTTTGATTGAGGTACTTCTTCTAATAGAAGATCTTTAGCTATTAAGTCATTCCAGAGTTTGGGTCCGATGCAAGGAAATGAGTAGAGCCTGTAATTTTTTGTTGAAAAAACAGGTTGAAAATGATGGATATTTCTTGTCTGATGGATAGGGTCAGTTGAAAGATGAAGTAATCGTCTTACAGAGACTGGTAATTCCTGCATTATGTACTTATGCATGATAAGCATTATTTGAAGTTTGGCTACGTCTTTAATTTTAAGAATACTATATTTTTTAAATATTGGGGTAGCACTTTGTGGTGGGAAAATACCTTCAATTAGTCTCATGAACCTTTTTTGCAGAATTACCAGCCTTTGAAGGTGGTTTTCATAGTTGGAACCCCAAATGAAACAGCAGTAGTTGATGTAAGGAAAAATCAAAGAATAATATAATTGAATGAGCTGCTGTTTTGGGATAAAGCGTCTAGCTCTTGCAATCATTCCAATGTTTCTGCTGATAATTTTACATATGCTACTGATATGAGATGTGAATTTGAGGTCAGAGTCAATAAGGATTCCTAAATATTTCACTGTTTTCATTTCAACTACTGCTGTGTTTCTAATGTAAATGTTTAACTTTTCAGCAGTTCTCCGTTTTGAATATACTTGGAGAAATGTTTTTGATGGGTTCACTGTGAGGTAATTTGCTTCTAGCCATTCAGATATTTTTGACAGGGCTGCATTTGTTATTTCTTGAAGTGTTTCTCTGTTTTATGTTTGAAAAATATTGCAGTATCATCTGCATACAACATAATTTGCCCTTCAATTGGAAGATTTGCAATGTCATTTAAGTATAGAATGAAGAGGAGTGGTCCAAGAATTGACCCCTACGGCACTCCTATTTTTATTTCTCGTTCAGTTGACTTGACCCCTTCTATCTGTACCACTTGAAATCTGTTTGTTAAGTATGATTTGATTGTTTTTAGAATATTTCCTCGAAAACCCATTTTGTTTAACTTTTCTAGTAGTATTTGGTGTTCTACAGTGTCAAAACAGTGCTAAAAATTTTTTTTAGCTGAGATGATACTATATCTGCTCATACATGTACATGAATTAGTACATTAACCCTCGTCGGCCGAGAAGGGGTGGGGCGGATGCCGCCTCATAGGGGTTTTTCGCGATGGCTCAAAACACGCTGAGGGAAAACAGCTGAAACTTGGCATACCTAATATTTTATTCAAGCTGGATCTTTTGACACCAACTGCGTTTTCAGGTCAGGTCAGGTCACTGACCTATGACGTCATAAATGAACCTCTGCACGGTCCTCAGAAGTTGCAACTTTGCAACGCCCTCAGTGCCAGAGGAACTTTCACAGGAAGATGAAACTTACAGGACGTAGTATCCTTTAGAGGTCTCACAAATTGTATATCTCAAGTTTTTCCCAAATGTCACATGAGGTCAGTTCGGTCACGTGACCTCACCATAATAAGTCAATGGAGGGAAATATGAAAACTGTTATTTTGACGCCGGAAATTGTCTAAAAACTGTCCCAAGCACATGAAATCGTGGTTTCATGCACTCTTTGTAAGGTCCGATCATGAAACCACGATTTCATGTGCTTGGGATAGTTTTAGATCATTTCCGGCGCCAAAATAACAGTTTCAATATTTCCCCCATTAACTTATAATGGTGAGGTCACGTGACCGACCTGACCTCATGTGACATTTAGGTTAAATCCGAGATAAACAAGTTGTGAGACCTCAGAAGGATACTACGTCCTGTAACTTCCATCTTCCTGTGAAAGTTCCTCTGGCACTGAGGGCGTTGCAAAGTTGCAACATCTGAGGACTTCGCAGATGTTTATTTATGACGTCATAGGTCAGTGACCTGACCTGACCTGAAAACGCAGTTGAGGTCAAAAGATCCAGTTTGAATAAAAGATTAGGTATACCAAGTTTCAGCTGTCTACCCTAAGCGAGTTTTAAGCTATCGCGAAAAGCCCTATGAGGCGGCACCCGCCCCACCCCTTCTCGGCCGACGAGGGTTAATGTACTAGTTCATGTACATGTATGCGCAGATATAGTATCATCTCAGCTAAAATATGTCTCTAATTCATGTTCGACACATTCTAGTGTTGTTACAAAAATTAACTCATTATATTTTCCATTTATTTGACTATTATGCCTGACGAATATTTATTTTTCAAAAAATAGGTGCTATCTCCAAAATGGAAATTTTTCGGATCTCGGGGACCACACCATCGGATTCCTTGCAAAATTTTGGTCCAGAAAACACTAAAATTGGAGATAGGTATTTTCAAAAGTTATTTACCGTCTCTTGGGGCAATGTGATGTACTAATAGATGACCCGCCCAACGGAGTTATGGGATTTGTTTATATTTGCTTATATGAGCTCTGGCCTTGAGGTGATTATCACAAAGCAATAAGGCGATACGTGCTTCGATGAGACAGAGAACATACAATGCGTAGCTTCTGACATCCATTCGTATTTCGTACCTTTTCCAGCTAAATGTATAAGGGACGGGCTGTTTTTCGTTCTTCTCCACTTCCTCTTCATTTCCGGCTCGGTCTCTCGCTCCCGGCACGCTCTGACACCATGATCGATCACATGCCTCTCCTTCTCTGTCTCTCACTGGCACACGATCCTCTCCACTCAACGCACAATCATGAACTAATGCGCCCACACACCAGGCGAAAATCCCACAACAATGAGTGACTCTCAAAAGTCACGAGCGGTGTGCTAATCTCACGTCAGAGAGTCGGGCCTCGCAGTGCGGCCGCCTCCTGTTTCGGGGTCACTTGATTACAAAAACCGCACCGCTATCAGTCAGTGGGCGTCTAATGCGTGATGTCCAGTCCTCTTCAAAGGCCGGCCGACCGATGGGACCTCTCAGCACAGGTTGGGAGTTCTCGGGGCGGATCTAGTGGGGCCGACCAGGGTCACCGCGCGCACGGCGGCAGTTTTGCACGGGCCGGTGCACAGGTGCGTGTCACGCCTCCCCTTCCTGTTCCGACGGAAAGGTTCCACCCCGAGCCGGGCCGCCGGCTGGGGTGTGAAGCTCGTGACGGCCTCGTGCGGACCTCGGGCACGTGCTATCACGCTTGAGTCGGCCACATCGTCACTTCGTCACAGCCATCGCCGGAAAGAGGAGAGAAAGAGAGAGAGAGAGAGAGAGAGAGAGAGAGAGAGGAGAGAGAGAGAGAGAGAGAGAGAGAGAGAGAGAGAGAGAGAGAGAGAGAGAGAGAGAGAGAGAGCGAGAGCGAGAGCGAGAGAGCGAAGAGAGAGAGAGCGAGTGGACTACAGGCGTGAGCGGAGAGAGCACTGCGACGATCCGCCACTGACAAATGCGCCCCTGGTTTTCATGACACACCGTCCACTGGGTCCGCTCAGGTTTGACGACAGCACGTAACACTAACTCAGCAGCGCTGCGTATTGTAGCAAATGCAGCCGGCTGCCACTGAGACCCACAGCCGGCCACTGCAGGGCGCCAACCAACACTGCACTGCCGCCCGGGCCCGGGGCGCGCTGCCGGCGGGGGCGGGGGCGGGGGCGGGAGCCCGCCGACGGGCCACCGACGCCGACGCGACGCCGCTGTGTCACAGTGTCACGGCGGCGGCGAGCCGCGAACGTGACCCGACCACGGTCATGGCGGTCAGCACTCAGCGACAACATGTTCCTCATCCGACACAATGTAACACTTAAGCGCACACCTGACACATTTGATTTCCTCACTAACAACGCTAGTGCTCGTCCTTCCCCGTTTGCCCCCCGCTCCCACCCGCCGTGGGGATATATGAAGCTCGTATTCACTGTTCCGTGTTTTGCCTGCGTGTGGAACAGGCGAGCTGTCCGCAAGCCGACGTTTGATTAATAACGAAACATAATTGTGAGCATTAGCGCAGCCATGCCGCTAATGAGAAACGGTGGGGAAATATATCATGCAGGCAGACTGTGGCTTGTATAGCACGAAACGCGAAAAACAAGAGATGTTACGTGAGCAGAAAATAGAAGATGTTCTTCAATCAATAAAGGTTGTTTGGTGCATGATCTTTCTTTATTATCTCAATTTCTGTATCAAAAGTGGACACTGCACATGCTGGCTTCAAAAGGATATGCATCAAAATTGCACGAATCAGCTGGTGATAATTGATTAAATTCACAGTTCAAAGCTATGTAATAGCCATTTCATGTCTAATTTCTAGTTTCGCCGCTTCCTTGTGAAAGTGCACACTGGTCGGAGAGCCGCTGCCAGTTAGAGACGACAGGGCACACCTGTCGAATGACGCGATCGATACGGGCCGGTCATGAGACTGAAATCGCACTGCGCACACCTTCCATGCCCCTTAACCGCATACATTCCGTAATTTTTGCCAATAACTATTTCAGAGATTGGTGCAACATTCAGAAACGCTCCAGCTCGTCTTTTTCTCGCATACATACCACTGAAGTCAAGTCTTTAACCTCCCATTAGCGGCGTACCTATTCGCTGAAGAGCCTACTCAGGTTGGTGAATGAATAAACAAGTATGTGACGTGTACACTGTACACGCATGTACCTATTTCAATATTTAAATATTTTTTCTGAAAAAAACAGCCAAATAAAAGCTCCAATGTCACCATTGGGGTCAATCTGAGTCGCAGTGGCCTCTGTAACCGAGCGAGGCGGGACGCGGCGGCCGGCGCGGCGGCAGCGGTCGTGGAACTCGTGCTGAAAGGGTGGCAGCGGGCCAGCTCAGTCCTACGGATCCACTAGCCAGCCAATGTCAGCACTGCAGCTGTGAAATACGGCCCACTGGACAATCTACGTCGGAGCAACAAAGGTTCGTAAAACAAAGTCAAACATTCGTAGCAGGCTGTGAGCAAAACACATTGCACTAACGATGCAGAGATAACTCAACGGCAAATGATCATTGAAGAAGCGTACTTTTGCAAGTACCGCACGCCGCACAAAAATATGAATTTCAGCGTCTCCCGTGATGGGATTAAAAAAAGGAAAATGTGAATCACAGCATATCATTCAGAAACGTTGCTCATCTTCAATCGCGTTGCCTGCGGTATTCTATCCAATTCTAGCCATCTCAGCATCCGCGTCAAGAAGCAACCTAAGGCACCAGTCTCCTATTGTCTTAGCCGTGTGGAGTTCTGCAGCTGATAGCCTCACAGAGGGTCCCTTGTTCCCTGCACCAGCGCCACCGTCGCCAGCGATGTTTCGATACGGTCCGGGACACACCTGTTCTGTGTTCGCTGCCTCGCACCCGGTCCCCTCCCCCCCCCCGGCCCCAAGCCCCCACATCGAGCCGTGCCATTGAACGAGCTCGGGCGTATTCACGTCGCACCATAACGGCCAACGATCGCGACAGACCCAATATGGCCCAGCTAAAAGGTCAGCCAAGGATGCAGAAAATAATAAGAATCAATAGGCCGTCAATATCTCCATTATAGGCGGGCAATGAACAACGCTTCCGATACTAGAGGCACGCCCCAGTCATGTCACACTGAGGTAGGGAATTGTAATGAATCATGAGCATTTTGGAATCGTTGTCATTGTCCTAATCGAAGCTATGATATGCCTGCAAGACTGCCCTACACAGTACTAGACGGCTGAATGGTTTCAAAACGTTATGACTGCGGACGGTTTGGTTGTGATGTTCTGATTCACGGACTGGCTCAGTGTAACCTGTTGCGGCCTCTCCGTCAGCTCAGGTCACATTGCGAGTTCAGCACCTCGGTGGACCATCCAAAATGCACTAATATAGGCCTCAGCTCTGCGGGCCAACTCTATCCTACCGGCTGACCGTTCTATTCGAGTTTGTTATCACAGCTGACAGAGCTGGCACACGACTCCAAACGAGATCGATCACCGCAAACTTCAAACTGCAAATAATCATGCATTTGATGCTGGTTTGACATCCACATCACAACTTTGTCAATAGGTGACGCTGTCAATCAGGGGCGGATCCAGAAAATCTCCAAGGGAGGGGCCATTAGAAACCAGGAGGCCCCCCCCCCATAATCCCACCTGTTGGAGGCCCCATCTTCCCACTTGTTGGCCCCCCCAAAAAAAAACTGCGTCTATTGAGCTTATCTAGCTGTTCAGGCAACATCTCAACATCTGTGCAGGCTTGGAGGCCCTCTGTGCAGGTTAGGAGGCCCTGTAAAAGTGGTCATCTCTGTGAGTATAAGAGACCTCCAAGTTATGAAAAGCTTTACCAATCTTCTAACAAAGAAGTCTTCTCAGCTAGTCTTCTAAGAAATAACTAAGTGGGTAGGTTAAAAAAAAAAACTCATCGGATTTCGACCACTTTATTTTCAGGAGGCCCCTTTTTCAGCTTTTTAACTTTTTAACTTTTTATTTTATTTTTGAAAAAAAATCGGCCAAGGGGGGGGCCATGGCCCCCATGGCCCCCCCCCTTGTATCCGCGCCTGCTGTCAATTAACTCGAGCGGTTTTTGTGCATGCTTGATGGACATTATTGCTCTGAAGCATTTTTGTTTTGACGGCTAGCTTCGCGAGTTGTCAACGGGGGATGTCTGGCAACATTCTCTCACTGGCTTCAGGCAGACTGGTCAGCATTAATCGCAACGTCCACTTCTGTCATTCACAAAATTTTGGACAAACAATGCCCAGTGGATTCAGATTTCAACAGGCTAAGGGATAACATGTGAGCAAAAGCGACACCTGACGGTCGTTCCTAGTACTCGAGTTTCAGACAGCCGCCGCAGCCGACGGGCCTGGCGAGGGCAACGCGGAGCAACAGCGGGCACAGTGAAGATGCGTTGGCAATTCAACAAGGTCACAGCTGAGCTTACGCTCCTGTCAGAAAATAGAAATAGTACATCCTGACCTTTACATAACCCTGCCACACTAGGGAGACTATGTGAACGGCTAGGCGGTTTGGTACATGTATATGCTAGCGGGAAACGCTTCAGAGGCGAGTCGGGCGTGAGCCGTCTATTACCTACATGTTATAATTAATCCTGGTTATATAAATATACCTACATGCAAGCCTGGGAATACAAGGGACGAGAGAGAGAGAGAGAGAGAGAGAGAGAGAGAGAGAGAGAGGGGGGGGAAGAGAGAGAAAGAGAGAGAGAGAGAGAGAGAGAGAGAGAGAGAGAGAGAGAGAGAGAGAGAGAGAGAGAGAGACAGACAGACAGACAGACAGACAGACAGACAGACAGACAGACAAACAGAGTGACAGACAGACAGACAGACAGACAGACAGACAGACAGACAGACAGACAGACAGACAGACAGACAGACAAACAGAGTGACAGACAGACAGACAGACAGACAGACAGACAGACAGACAGACAGACAGACAGACAGACAGACAGACAGACAGACAGACAGACAGACAGACAGACAGACAGACAGACAGACAGACAGACAGACAGACAGACAGACAGAGTGACAGACAGACAGACAGACAGACAGACAGACAGACAGACAGACAGACAGACAGACAGACAGACAGACAGACAGACAGACAGACAGACAGACAGACAGACAGACAGACAGACAGACAGACAGACAGACAGACAGACAGATCATTCGTAAGTACGAGTACATAGGCATCGTGTTAGTGCTGTCCTGTGAAAATTTATCAAAACAAAGATGATGGACAAGGGATGTAGCATTTCACATCACTGACGGAAGAACATTATTTCAATTTCATCGCTACTACACAAGTAATTTGATACTTGTTTTTATCATAATGCAAAAAGAAATGCAGATAAAACTATATTGTTGTACCTAATTGTGTATTTTATTGTGTAAGTTTCTTGTAGATGGGTCCAGTTAACGATCGAAGAAGCCGTTCGTGTCTGGCTCGGCTCTCATCAGCAGTCACGAGAACAGGGGCGGTGTGACATGCAACAGCTCAACAGAGGCCGGCAGTGCTGAACTGAGGCAGAGGAAGGCTTTGGGTGAAAAAATAAAGGTATTGTTATGGTATCATGTCTCTGCATTTTCAGTTGAAAGCATTTGACGAGCCACTCAACAATAAAAATAATCTTAGTTACGAAGTGGAAATACTGGAAACTATTTGTGTCTGCGAGACGCGACGCATTCTTTTTATGTAGCAGTTATTTTCCCCATATCCAGTCGCTGGATGCATGGTACATAGAATAAAAGGCTCGGTCCTTCCATTTGCCTGCAAAAACAGTGGCATCAACGGGCATCACATCAGTGGGAGAGGTTGCACTCTGTCATCCAAACAGACGAACGTGTCAGCCATCCGCGGAACCACGTCCAATAATGGGGAACCCATCAGAAGTAGCCCATTCTGTCACACGGTGGGACGAGCAACATTCACCCTATCATACGGAGGGGACTGTTGGAACCGCGACTGACACAGAAGCGACCGTGAATGAACCCGATCATACACAAGGGGCGGGTAAAACTCTATCACACAGCAGGGACGGGCGACACCCACTCAACCAGAACGTGTCGCACATAATCAGCCAAAAGGGAACGGAAGCTGTCTGATCGCGCAAAA